ACTCCGCGCTCCTCTCCGCGGCGCCGCCAACTCCTGGGAAAAAGCCCGAGGAGGGGGGAGTGCTGGGCAGCAGTTGCTGGCAAGTCTCGGCGAAGCCACCTCCCCTCCCGCCGCTGTCCCTCCCAGCCCTCGCCAAGTCCGGACGAGCGGCGGCGGCAGCCCAGCCGGGGCCAGCTGCACAAACCCTCGGCGCATGCTCGGGCCGCTGGCTGCCCCGGGTTGGGTCCTAGTGGGGGTTTCTTGTCCCCTCACCCGGAGTGAGTCCCCAAAGGGGCGCCTCACCTCTGCCCGGTCCTGCGAGAGAGGGAGCCGGGGAACTTTGGAGACGTCGGCGCCCTAAACCACTTTACGACGGTAGCGTCGGAGGAAGGGAGGCTGGGTCATAACCATGGGGAAACAGCCTTTTATTATATGAAAATATTTGTGTTTGAGAAGGGGGGTGAAGGAGTGGCCCAACCCGATTTCTGCAACGAGAAACTGGTTTTCACAGCCTTTATGAAGCCACCTCCTGTGATTTGTCAGCGACATGGTGCCCTGTGAACCCTCTTCCTTCTTCGGACCCCTCCTCGATTAAAAAAAAAAAAATTCTTTCCCACTGCCATGGCGAATTAATGGCATATACTTAACTGTCAAAGCGTAAGGATGCCCAGGCCTGACGCATCAAGAAAAGGAAAAGAACTTTTTTTAACTGAAAAGTTTTTACAGTTTCTTCCAACATTTGAGTTGAGATTTATCTTGGTTTTTGCTTTTAAAATGTGTACATAGTAGTGGATCTTGGGAAAACAGATTTTTTTTAAAAAAATTAACATTTCAGAAGGAATTAAAGCAGTAACAGATGACTATCCACTGGAAAGTACTTTCCCTTTGGGAAGAAAGAAGTGACTTGCTTACAAATTAAAACATCCGCTGGATCATGTTCTTCAGAGGAACGTTGATGTTTCACACCTCACACTACATGTTTTAAGCATCAACAGCAAATACCGATTAATAGAAAGGTAGGCAAAAATATGGAAAATAAAAAATAACAATTGAAAGAGTAAAAGGACATCTCTCCAGGCATCTATCAGAGGATTGCCACTCTGACAACAAACATCCTCAGAGACTGTGAAGAGGAGAGGAGAAAGTCACTTGCTTCACTTCCTCCTCTGTGATCTTCTCCAAATCTGGTCTGTGTCTGTTTATGCAAAAGATTGCAGAGGCAACAGCATCCCAGGGCTGATGGCTCCACACTTGGACCACAAGTGAGGGAAGTCTATGTGCCTCTTCGAAGTCACTTAGACTCTCCTAAGTAAGGGAGGGGCCTATGACTGCCATTAATCACACACACACACACACACACACACACACACACACACACTGCTGATAGTGCAGAAGATACCGATAAACAGAGATGCTCTATTTCTAGAAGTTAGTAAAACATCTCTTACTAATTTGTAAATCTGCCAGTTGTCCTGCAATATTAAAGTTTTAATGCATCTCTTTTTGATAACTATGGGCTATGGACAGAGTATTTCAGGAGGACCTCTAGTGGAGTGTTCCTTGGAGGTGAGGATGGGAAGACTCCTTCTTAAGTATACACTTTGGATATGTCCTTGGAGAAGGATTTCAAGTTTTTAGTTGTTGTGTACCATTGAGTTGGGACCCATAGTTGACCCTCTAGCAGCTTTTAAGAGAGAATAAATCACACAAAAGGTGATTGCCGTCTCCTGCACAGCAGCTGATAGATTCTAAAGTCAGAAAAAAAATAAGGAAACCCCTCCATGGGATGGATTGGGCCAGTGGCTGCAGCAATATCCCAGTGTACAGCAGAGGTTGTGGGGATGGTGCTGGATGGGGCAGGACTTGTTTCTGTTGTGCCCAGGGTCTCTGAATCCCAGCCGATTCAGTGGCTTCACCCACAACAATATGAACAGAGTCAGATTATGCAGTAAGCAGAGGGAACAGGACTTGCCTGTGTTTATTTACTAATCTACAGCGCACAATTTCACTTTTTTTTTTTTTTCCAAAACATCGGAGATCCTTTTTCTAGTTAACGGCTGGCATTTGTCTCTCTTCCAACCTCAAACACCTCCCTATAGAATCAAAACTGCTTTTCAAATGTGCAAGTGCTCCCTGTCAGGGACTGGTCACCCAGGAAAACAAACACAGGCTGACCAGGGCTAGGTTTCTAACTGATAACAGTTTCACATGTTTTCCAGCATGGATGTGAAAATACACACAATCTTATGCTTATCTTCTTTGTTGCTTTATCTGCCATGATGTGAGAAGTTAAAGGAATTGGAGCTGTTTCTCCTTCAGTCTTTGTTTAAATCAGATTCCAAAGCAGAATCAGGAAATATGACTTTAACGCTAATTCAGTGGCTTTCAAATTCACTGAGCCTTAGAATCACGGAGGAGCTTGGAAAAAAAAATTCTTAGACTCAAGCAGCACCCTGCAGTGTTTAAATGAGATCCCTAGCAGGCATGGCCCAGACAGTTTCAAAACTCCCTCGGTAATTCTCATCTGCAGTAAAAGGTGAAGAATGAAGGAGCTTTGATGGCCTAGTGGCAAGACGCTGCACTGCAATCCTAGAGACATGTGGTTTGAATCCACCAGATGCTCTGCTGGAGACGGAGGGGCAATCTCCTCCTGTACCAGTCAGATCTGATTTGACAGTACACACACATAAATTTTTTTTTCAAAAAAAGGTGAAGACCACTGTGTCCAACTCTTTTTGTTATTATTGTTTGGTGTTATTAAGTGGGTGACCCTGCGTGTATGAGAAACCCTTTCCAGTCCAACGCCATCCTCACAACTCTTACTGTCTTTGAGTCCTTTATGTTATTAGATGGTATTGAGTCCACTCCAAGTTCACTCCAAATCATAACGACCTCATGGACAACAGAAAGACACACGAATCTACAACCAGGAGAAGATAAAATAGATGAATGGGACCTTCTAAGAATCAAATCCCTATGCACATCCAAAAACTTCTCAAACAGGGTAAGAAGGGAAGCCACAGACGGGGAAAAAGTATTTGGTAAAGGCATGTCAGAGAAGGGACTTATATTTAGAATTTGTAAGATTCTTGAGTATCACAACAAGATAAAGGTAAATAATCCAATAGAAAAATGGGCACAGGATATGAACAGACATTTCACCAAAGAAGACATTCAGACGGCCAACAAGCACATGAAGAAATGTTCAAAATCCCTAGCTCTGAGAGAGATGCAAATCAAAACAACTATGAGATATCATCTCACCCCAGTCAGAATAGCAAAATTTAACAGAACAGCAGGCAACAAATGCTGGTGAGGTTGTGGAGAAACTGGAGCACTTATTCACTGTTGGTGGAAATGTAAAATGGTGCAACCACTGTTGAAAGTGGTATGGTGCTTTCTGAAAAAGTTGCAAATAGAGATACCATTTGAACCAGCAATTCCACTACTGGGAATATATCCCAAAGAGACCATAACTGACATCCACGCAGATATATGCACACCCATGTTTATTGCAGCTTTGTTCACAATAGCAAGGAGTTGGAAACAACTCAGGTGCCCATCAGCAAACAAATGGATAGAGAAGCTGTGGTATATTCACACAATGGAATACTACACTGCATTGAAAAACAAGGAACTCATGCAATATTATTCAAAATGAGTGACCCTCGAGGACATTATGCTGAGTGAAATATCTCAGTCACAAAAGGACAAATACTGCATGGTGCCACTGTTGTAGAATGGGACTGACATCAGGATTGGAGTAAGACTGAGAAAAACTGGATAAATTATGTATATTTCATTGAAACAAATGAGGGAGAGAATAATTTTAAAGTGATATGTAATAGGGTATTTTTGGTTCTCACAAAAGTCCAGTATTAAGGTTGCATAGTGGAGTGTACTCGGGGCTGTGGGAGGGGTGCGAGAGGATTGTGTACCA